ATGAACTTAGTACTTTCAATAACACAGGCTCAGTTGCTAAGTAAAAAAAGCATCATTTAAAATCCTGTAGAGTAATTTGAAATGATTTGTTACATCGATGTCTAACTGCATATGGGACATTTCTCTTAGACATTTGTCTAATGAAGGACATATAAATCGCATTCATGCCAATTTAGCAGAATGAGAATTTTTGAAAAACAAATTTTATATGAGGCTAAGACATCAGTCTTCACTTGTGCCTTCAGTATCAGTAGTACTGCACAAAGAAGATAAAAACTGTACTGTAACTGCTAAAACATTTTCTATATCACTAAAGAGGTAATCTTAATAGGATCTACTCCCAGGCTTAAAAAGTGCCTTTTGAAGAAGAGCATATTTGTAAGTTATACTGTGAGAGCTAAAGTTCGCTAATTTTTATGCAAAACAACTGAACACTTTAGTATTGCCATGAAATTAATGTACCTCAATTAAAAAAGCTCAAATAGATAAAATTCAGATTTTTTCTTAGAGTATGTGCAAGAAAAGAAGGGATTTAGAATGAAAATGTAATTTTCTGTCTATACCTTCTTTAATTAAGTAGGATTGCTTTCCTTTATGTCATGAAAAGAAAGTGAGGGCAATATTACTTGAGTTGCTTACTAATGGAGGGTGCGTGTCCCCTTCTTTAGCTTCACATGAGTAACTGCGTAGAAAGCTGTGTAATCTGTTGCTGATGTTCCTTTATGAAGAGGAGAGCCAAAAGTTACAAGTGAAGCTTGCCCGGACCTGAATCTGCAACCTCCTCCCACAGCCTCCTACACGCCACACTTGCGTGCCAGCTTCCTTCGGCTCCATTTTACAGACCTAGGAGCCAACATTCCAACTATCTGTTTAGTAAGCAAGTCTTGGGGACTTCTGTCTGTGACCGACTTAAGCCTCGGCTTCTGAGTAAACACTTGGTGCCATCTGGATGAGTATTTTATAACTCCTGAAAGGGATAGGTCTGCAGGAACGAATGCATGGACGCTCGTCTTCCTCAGGAACCAAAAGCAGCGTATCGAGTGTCAGGAGGAATAGTTATCATATATTTTACAAGAGATGGCTACGCTACCTTCCCTCACCTGTCACTCTTCTGACACGGCACGCACAGGCTTAAGCTGGGGATACCAGAGAGGGCAAGCTGCAGAGCCAGCTGTGACCCTGCAGAAAACAGTCCCCAGCCACTAAATCGCTTATTTTGACAAAGCCGCACAATGGAGCAGTAAAATCTCTCCTGTTTCTTCTCTGAAGGTTCCTTAGCTACAGTACAATTGATCAGGGAACTTAAACTCCTAAGAAGAACCCCATAATATTGCTGCATAAAGTGGACATAATAGAGGAGAAAAAAATCAAAATATATTTGCAGCATTTATTCATAGGACACCTGAAAAGTACTAAAGAAAAGTGACACCTAGTACTTATGGAGAAATTCAGAACATAGAAGAGAAATTAAAGGCTGTATATAGAATCAATCATGACTTTGGACTACTCCCATAAAACTACCATCATAGCTGAGGAGATAAAATAAATACGTGTATCCGCACTTGTGTAGTGTTAACTGACTCCACAGAAACATAGGAAAACTTTACATCTTTACTAAAAGGGCTCAAATATGCACATATATATGTCATATATACTTAAAACTACTGAAGTGACTAATTTCATTAGGATTCTACGTAAAGCCTATAAACGTTTTCATATATTTCCTTTTACAGCTTAGCATATTTTGGGTTACAATGTTGTTTCTTTTCTCTAATTATTTATGCATGATTGATGAAATTATATTAACAAAACTTCCATATGTGCCTTAAAGAAATGTACAGAAACATATTTAACTCTAATCCCATCTCTTTCTAAATTCTCTGCTATTGCTGCAAGTAAGAAATTTTGTTAAGTGTGCACGTGTTAGGATTTCAGTACGAAATTTCTGTGAAGAAAATCAAACAGGAAGATCCAGAGCTCTACTCAGATCAATGCACTTTCTGAGCTATGAAATTTCTATTTCAAACTCATAAAATAAATTTTGCAACTTAAAAATCAGTGGTATTTTTCCCTCTGTTTTGCAGTTTGGCATATCCTCATTTACCTAATAGGTTGTTACAGCTGCTGAGTATTTATGAAGTCTGCCATACATACTACCTCAAAGTATCCCTCATTCCACACTATAATGGCTATATCTGTCAGTTGAACACTTAAAAATACAGGTTTTTCCTCCAAGTACTGGTAACTTCATTCTCTTCCATATTTTCTCATGTTTCCATGCTTCTCATGGTTCTGAGCAGTGGGGGATTTCCTACTCATCACGGATGCCTGAACACTTATAGATGCAGAGTCACTGACAAATTTTAGACTTTTGCAGGTACCAATAGCACAGATAAAAGGAAAAACAAGAGTTTCTACTTTTTGCTGTTACGTACCCCTGTAAATTACCTATGGACAACTCTCCCTGGACCAAAGGACCATGAACCAGTTGTTTGGAAATTACTACAGTGGAGCAATCTCAGTCTTTTGCCACCTTCACACTCCTTATGCTGAGGACAGGACCATGGTACAGGTCTGTGTGTGGGGAGAATATTCTAATCATGAACAAAACTACTGATGGTCTGGTTTATACTGACTCTAGAACATATTAGAGATCTCCTTCAGCTTATCCCACTGATGTATGATTTCTACGGAGATTTCTAGAAATGGAAAAGCTGCACAGGACAGCAGAGCTCTGTATAAAGCCATCATTTCCCACCTCTTTCACTATGCAACTTAACTGGTGCAGAAGGTTGGTGACCCAGCCCAGTTGGAGCCTCTTTTAATATTCCCTCCCTCCCTGCCCAAAAGTCACATTTTGGACTTAGTTCTAACTGTGTGTCATAATTTTCACTGCTCATCCCTCCTTGCCCCTCAGGACAAAAATTTATTTATCTTTTTCATAAAAATAAATAATTTTCAAATTAGGAAAACATAAAAATGACTTTAAGCAGAGAATAAATTTATGACATTATGCCTGCGTCCCAAATGCATGGATCACTTTAAAACTTTGCTCTGATTGAAATACTTATATCACATTTTGGCTGTAAGAGAATGAATGGTCCTGCCATAGTAAATTCTCATTAAGTGACACATGGACTCTGACATGATCTGACCTGCTGCTTGTTCACAGAGAGACATAACATCTTCCTTTCATGATTATATATTGTAGGAGTCATGACTACACAGAAGTCACAAAAATAAAACAACTCTGAGGACTGGATTTTATCTCTTCTCTCAGTTAGCAGCTACATAAAAAACACATTTCAGTACATCAGTTACTAACATCCCTTTGCTTTCCAAAAAATTTAAATATTTTATTTTAAAAACTGTGAAGATGACCATCACTGAATGCAGACATCTTGCTGTGCCTGAACTGACTGAACTAAAACATTTTCACAGCATTCTATAAATTATTCAAAGAAATGTAATTCTTTAACAGTTCATCTTATGAAAGTGAATCACTTCAGGTACAGAAAGAGTTAGTTCAGTCAATTTGAAAGCAGTTTTTGATTTTTGATATTGTACTAATGACCTCCAAGTACAATTCTTAGAAAAGTGTCCACAACTGCAACTTAAGACAATGAATGCATTCAGAAGAGGCCTAATATATCCAAGTGCTTCTATCAGAATGGGTGTCATAATTTTTCCATAATTTACATAAAAAAAATGCTCTTACAGCACACACAAAACAGATATCCTCAGTTATTTTTCCTATCTTATCCTCAGACATGTCCTATTCCTATTTCACTGATCCCTTCAAAGCCTGTAAGAATCTATGTAAAGCAAGACCTACTCCAATCCATCTACTGCAGTAACAATCCTACTGCAGTTTACTACTAATATTTCAATATTAACTCTTCCAACACACATTTTGACTGTATATTCAAGAGCTGAAGGACATAAATGGACCTGTTTACCTCTAGCAAAACATGAACTACATCAAAGAGTCACTGATCTTGGGACACAGTACTAAACTTAACTCCAGGACATCAAGATACGAAATATTTAGATTTCATAATCAAAAAAACAAAGACCATAAAACATGGCAACTTAATTTTTAAGCCTTAGGAATAGAATTTATCTTTATCATATGGGTCTCTGGTTATATCCTTCAACGTTTGTAAGATCTAATGGAGGTCTTTGCTTCTATGGTCTTGGAAATTAAGAGAGTGAAAAGACACCTTATAATCATTTACATTATGAATGACAGTCCTTATGAAGTTTATTTAGGATTACATGGATAATATGGATAGTGTAGAAGTAGTTCACAACACTGAGTTATGGGGTAAGAGCTACTGATATTGTGAAACTACAGCCTGGGAATTTGGGAGCTTCTGTCTTTTTTTTTTTTTTTTTTTTTTTTCCCCGTGCTCTTTTGCACCATTCTGAACTGGTTTTACCCAAATAGACTATCCTTTATAGGAGGGCTTCTCCTTTCACTTCATGAGCACAATGACTAGAATTCAAGCAGAATTTATTACTTTTACAAAGCAAAACTTGCCCCTGGAGAATTTTGGGGACACTTTTCTTCAGGCTTTGTACATGCTTGGGGCAAGGATCACTGCAAGAAAATTAAGAACATCTTCCATCATCTATATATCTGGCCAGAATACAGTCTGATACTGTATCTGAAAAGCATTAGTAATTTTTGCAAGCTTTTATTGAAAAATGTTTTTCACTAAAAATAACAATGGAATTCTTTCATTTCAACAAGCCTATACTATTTATACACAGAATAAACAACATAATATTCTTGTTAGCATTTGGTGGGAAACAAGATGTTTTGAATGTGCTTATTTTTTTATATTTACAGAATTCCTTTCACAAGTCATATAGAAAATGCTGAGGAGAGGGACTTGGCTCTTATGTTTATTAGGGAAAATACTGCAAATAAGTGAAAAATGTGCAGCATTTCTTAGAGATTTTCTTTTGTTTGTTTTTGTTTTACATGTACTCACACTCAAGGCAGCTGGTCCTGGAGGTCCTGGATCTCCCTAGTTAAAACAGGAAAGTCAAAAAATTAGCAGCCTCTTCAGTTAAATATATTTGACCTCTAGTTATTTAAGGGAACATGCACCACTGCAGAAGTAATTTCAGTATAATCATCGAACATGCTCATTATGAAAATATGCGAGTAAAGTGATATTCTTTTCCACTAATGGCAGAGATATACACAGTTTGCCACAGGTTAAAGGGAAAAAATTGCCAGGCCTCTGCAGAAATGACTCACAGCTATATAAAAAACCAATCCTTCAAAACACATTTGCATATGTTAAGTTACAAGCTGCAGCAGCTTACATGCACAAGGTGGTTGCTGAAGTCAGTGTGACAGCTCACATATTTAAAGACATCTGACTGTGTAAAACATTCACAGAATTAGGCTGCTGAGGTAAGAATCACATCTGAGACCTTCAGGTTTAGTTCATGGGAGTAAACTAAAACATCCACAGAGTAATTCAGAACCAAATTTAGTTTCCGGTTCAGAACTCCTTTTAAAATTTGTTGTGATAAAGAGCACTTGTCTTTTGCATTTACAGTCAGCCTGTATTCATATTCTTCAACCCTTAATTTACACAAATGGCAGCAGTGGGTGTTTGTCACACATAGTTATGGCAATGTGTTCACAATTGAAGAATGTCATGCATACTCACATATACATACAACTTAACAGATTAAAAAAGGTACCTTTTCTCCTTTTGGACCAGCCACACCAGGACTACCAGGGTCACCTTTTAGTCCCTGGGCAAAGAAAAGAAATGCTTATTTGTTGTCATCTATGAAAAATGTTGGACAAAATCCTACAGTGCTTTGAATTACTATCTACTAAAACAATTAAGCCTTAAAATTCTATCACATTATTAGCACTATCTCAAAATCCTTTATTTTCATTATTCTGTGAACAGATAGACATCTATTGAAACCACATGTGTCTTCAACACATAATTAAACACATAAAACAAGTCTACTTTATTGTGCCCCATTATGGCAAGTTGCCATGGCCAACAAACAGTAGACAGTACTAGTACATTCACAAAAACACCACTAAAATTGGGAAAGAGGCAGAGGTGGACAGAGAACTGCAGAGTCCATGTTTCAAGTAGCAATGCTGAGCTGGTGAGCTACAGGAAGGTACAGCTCAGAGCTGCTGCACATGTTCCAACACACTCATCTTCACCAGTGTTTGAAAAGGCAATTAGAGAAATAATTAATTCTTTCATACTTCCTTCCTTATTTCTGCCTTCAGCTGGAGGAGCAAATACTATTGCCTTACACATGACACATGCAGCAACTTCACACTCGCAGGGGCAGAGCGGTTTGGGTTGGAAAAGACACTTAAAGGTCACCTAGTCCAACCTCCCCTACAAGCAACAGGGACATTGTCAAGTGCATCAGATTGTTCAGAGCCCCATCCAACCCAACCTTGAACGATTCCAGGGATGGGGCATCTACAACCTCTCTGAGCATACTGTTCCAGTTTTCACCATTTTCATTGTAAAGTATTTCCTATTTATATCTATTCTGAATCTACCCTCTACAATATCTATTATACAGCTCTTCTGCTAACAAGTTCTCACCAGAAGCACTCAAAAAAAAAAAAAAATTAGCACTCAGCAAACAATCTTCTTGCAGCAAAAAAAAAAAAAAAAGGAAAAGCAAGAGGTTTTGAAATATGCCCAGCAAATTCAACTCATTCTGCAGCAACAATTGAACTTAATTCTCATGCTGGACAAACCCACCAGGAACTCATTTTTGCTTAAGCCAAGAGCTTTGTCTTATGTCTTCCCTCTGATCACTTCTTTAGCAGCACGGGAGAAGAGATGATGTACAAGTTCAAAGATTTCACTTGGAAATGAAATGGCAACAATGTAGGCAATACAGGACAGAATCATAATGAGATACTACACAACTAGGCCACCATCGTTACTATTCCAGACATTAAACAGGACAAGGACAGAAAAGATTCATCTACATCTGAATTACAGTTTATAAACTAAAGTTGTTCTTGGCTCCCTTTTTGTCCTTGCAAACTCTCTTCCTCAGTTTGCAATTATTGGAAAGATAGAGACAACTGGCATGAAAATGGTAACTAACATCTGTGCCTTGGTGGGTACAGAAACATTAAATCAGTGAGTGTTCTAAATACTGTGTATTTGTGCAACTTCACTTCCTGCTAAAATTACATTAATTCGCCATCTGGAAGGAACATCATTTAGAACTATATGAGCATTTAAGTACCCACTTTGGATTAAATTTGTGGTTGTTGTAAATACCCCTGATTTAGCTTTGATTTGTCCTTTATTAAGCTTGCCAAATACGTACTAGTTAAATCAGAAGTAGTTTTGCTGTTTGAACTTAAAAAATGTGATAGGCAGATGGATTCAAAAAAACCAAGCCAAAAACTTGCTTTCCTTTTACAATCTGCATATTTATGACATTGCCGTAATATTGTCTCCATTCACTACATTTTACTTTCCACCTCCTTCTCAAAGACTGCATAAAACACAGCCATTCCATATTCTAAAAGCCATTTTAGGGATTTTTCAGGTATGAAAACTGTATGGATTTTATTCAAAATCAATACTAGCAAATCAGCAGTTAAACAATATGTATGAGTTTCAGAATTAGCTCTTAGGCTGCATGTTTACAGAAGAGAAAAGATATGGCTAAAAAAAAATCTGCAACTCACAGGTGGTGATATACATCTGTGTCTGTCTCTACTGAATAGAAAAGGCAACTGCAAATGAAAGATGCTGAGCCTGAGCCATGCACTGTCAAACTATGAACCTAATTTTTCCTAATTGCTGTGTTTAAAGCTTTTAGTAGTGTTCCTGCAGAGCACCTTGGTGAGGTATGTAGTCTGACAGCTACTTCAGAGATGATGACCACAGAAATTAACCTCAAATAAAAAGAACAAGGGGAAACTACATGTTTGACAACAAGCCTTGCAGTGTTTGAAGGTGGATTTTTATAGACCCTGGAAGATTTATATATAATGTCTTTATTCTAAAATACTTGAATTAGTTTTTCTTTGCAGTTTAAAACCCCGAGAAAGAAAAGCAGTATCAGAAAAAAAAATTGCTTAGAATGTTATCCCATTATAAGTATTTCTGGTTCTCCCACACATTACATATACATTCTAAAAATATTACAATCTTAGTAAGTTCCAGACATAGTGAATGTTTGCAAAAAGCACATCTGGGGCTGCACTATGACTCTTCTTCCTTAGAGTGGCCCTTTTGAAGGTGCTGAGAGGTTTAGCTGCTGCTCGCTCTCTCCAAAATGCCACAAGAGTTCCTTTGCTAAGTCACACGTGCAGACCTAGCGCAGTACAGTATGGTATCCTGTCTTTGGCAGAGACCAGAACAGGATGTTTCAGTAAAATGAATGCAGTTATCTAAACAGATGATTTTAGACTAAACCTTAAATCAGAAAAGCTTGTTTTCTGCAATACTTTATAAGAACAAGGCCAGTTTTGAAAACAAACAAGTTTCTATTAATCTAAGGAGGCTGTTGCCAGATTTGCCAGGAATTCAAGAACTGCCTAAAAATTCCAGCAGCTCTCATTAACAGAGAGTAAAAATACTATTGAATTCTATCCCAACCTAATTCTACCTTTTTGGGACCAAGATAATAATATGCATTTGTGGGTTCATGAACAGTCTTCTGCTGCTGTGTTTACTTCTCTGTAGGCACTACAGCTTGGCCTTTTTGTGGTCACAATAAACTTACATTATGGTTCCTATATGGATGCCAAAATGTAAACATTAGAATATATAAGGCCAATGCAAAGCTAACAAGACAACAACACTGGAAATAGCAGAAATGAAAAATGTTCTATATGAAAATAAAAACAAGACACGTAACTGTAACACAACTGTACTGCAAATGTCAATAAGGGTGTGAAGACAGAAAAATTGGGTCGAGTGGGGGAAAGATTAAACTAGAGGCAGTTTTTTTGTTTAGAGAGGATGACAATGGTATTACCTCCCATGGAATGAAGGAAAAATAGATAAAACAGGTAAAATGTACCATCAACTGACACCAGGTGCTCTTCTCAATGAAAAAAATGCAAAAATCAGCATGACCCCAACCAGAGGACTTCAGCAGTTCCACAGGAGCCAAGTGTTGCCCACTAGAACCCACCCACTGGTACAGTATATGCTATGCTGCACATGTGACAATGGAAAATGCTGTAAGATTGCAATATTTTAGGAGAAGCGGTTTTTCACTCTAAAAGATACCTGTTGGGAAAAACATAATTTGTTGTTTACAATTCACTGGCCTGCATTAAGAGTAATCTGGTTCAATTTCACATCAGGTTAAAATCTCCTAGAACAATACATATTATTCATACTGGAAATACAGTATACAATCCAACATCCTAAACAATGATGTTTATACATTGCTAGAGATCCACATCGTTATAGATCTACATTGTTATAAATCAAATAATTTACCTCTACTGAGTAGCAGAACTTGGAAATACTCTAATGGCTAAGAACAGAACTACATTTTCTTCACAGGGCAGCCTTACAAAATAAAGGTAAAATAGAATTCTACACTAACTACAGCTTCAGGGTCAGCTGTACAACACCAAGTTGTATAAGTTGGGATAACTTCTCTAATTTAGAGAAGCATTTTTAAAGCTCCAAACTTTTTCAGTTTATCTTTCACGTATTTTTAAATATTGTCATTGTTCTTTTCTCATTAATGTAATTCAAAAACTTCAAATTGGTACACTACTAGAATTTACTAGCCCCTGAGCAGTGTCTACTATCTCCTTATACTTTTGTTCCTAACAGAATTCTCAGAGTCTAGAAAAAACAAATATCATTACCAACTTCGTCCTTTCAAGCAATAGGATTCTTCCCTTCCTATCCACGTGTTTCCTTGCTAATGCTAAGAGAGTTCAAGATTAGACAGACAGGCCTGAGGATATGAAAGTAAATAACTGTTACTATCATACCAAGATACTCTATCCCTTTAAAGTTATTCATACTTCTGTTTATCTTTTCCCACATGTATAAAAGTAAAAAGGTCTGATATGTTTTCCATCTTTGATTGAAAACCTGGGATTTTTTCACTGCTTACTGAACATTGGAGAGCCATCCTTTGACATCAGGTATGTAAAGAATAAGTACATTTTATGTAGGAAAATTTTAGAAAAGTCACTTATGGTATTACCTTACCCAGCAGAAGAAATAAAGATAACTAGTTAAAATGGTTAAGTTCATTTAATGTATACACTGGATTTTAATTTCAGCTTTGTTTTTTCTTTTTTTTTTTTTTTTTTCACTTACAAGAAAGACACTAATCTTCCACTAGCTATGCATGACACATGCATGATAAAACTTGCTGTTTTCTCTTACTTTTGCTGAAGGACTTAATTTATGTCAGCAACATAGTAATTGGCAGTATCCCATGGCATTCATTCCTACCAGCACCACTGATCAAGAAAATTACGACTCAAAAAAGCATCTAAAAGTTTCAGTAATAGAGATTTTCTTTCCATTTCAGTTCAACTGGCAAGAATATGAATATAACATAGATCTTACTTACTCCACAGATAGTTTCATGGATATTTATATTGCAAATCTGTCCTTATTCCACATGGGATATGAATGCATTTATCAGAGTTTCTTTTAGACAGTGTCTCTATGAGGCTCCACTTGCTACAGTAATACAAATGACAGCATTATTATAGAAACACAGAATCACTAAGGTTGGAAAAGATCTCCAAGATCATCGAGTCCAACCTTTGACTCATTACCATCTTGTCAACTAGACCAAAGAATTCTTAACTCCTCAATTACAAAAGCAGGTAGGTCTCAACATCCAAATGTAAAATAAAGTATATGAAAGAGTGGTGGAGGGAAGCAACATATTAAAAAATTACAGGATTTTAGTGGCAGCAATGTGGTGCCTGAGTTTAATGTCAAGTGGTTAAAATAGTCTCAAGGGATAAATGGAGATACTACTTAAACTGGCTGTACATCCTATTACAGGTGTAATGTGAACATGTAGCACAGGAGGATATATTAGTAATATATTATTTATAACTACTCCTTAAGAAACTAAAAACAATGGCAACCACATTAGCAGTATTTATAGTAAGCACTCATGTTGTCAGATGGATTTTAAATAATGTCGCAGACTGGGACATGGCACTATAAATTTTGGCTCAGGTTCCTGGAGTGATGAACTGGGAGATGTGCAGAACAGTTAAATATACTCAGAGTTCCTGCCTCCAAACCTGATTCTCAGTGAGACTGACCCAGTTAGCACGACCAGTGAGGGATGAGGGAATTAAAACTTTCTAGGTATAGAATCATCATTACAGAAAGCCTAGTCTCCAAATCAGGTCTGGCTTCCCTCTGTCATGCTACTTCATTCTAGCAAGAGCTTTCTGTACAGCCAGGAAAACACGAGTAGCAACAGCAAGCAAAACTGTCTGTGACACCTACTTTCCTGATTTTGATAAAAATGCATTCAAATATGTTTCTACCATTTGTGCAACATAAAATGTTCAGTCATCATCTTGAAGTTCTTTACTTGCGAGGATGGAAACTCTCACTCCCCAGGAAGAGACAACAGCTGCCAGTAGACTTATAAGTGTTTTCAGGTTCTCTTTATGCATCACTGAAGGTTAAACCAATGTAAGTAGATTAACTTGTTTATTTCAGAAATATCAGATGTTACGTTTCTGTATACAGAATGAGTTAGAGACACATTGATATCAACAAAGGGTGAATGATACACAGTCCTTTAAATTTAATGACTGTCATCTGCATGCACAGTGATAACTGAATCCAAGACATTTTATATAAGTGTTGTTAGACAAGGAATTATGTGTGGATTCAAACAATACAATGTTATATTGCTTTGTGCAATTTTACTTCCAAAATGTTTTAATGACAGTTCCCACAATGATAACGTACCATTTCTTGACACATTGCAACAGTTCAGTAAATACTTAAAAATATAAATGTTCAGTATTTTTCACTTTCACAGTGCCACTATGTCAAATATGTCCTGGAGTTCATCAGATACTTGGTATACCTTACTCTTCCTAAAAGGTTGATGGAACAAGATCCCATGTAGTAAAGGAGATCATGTAAGACCAACACAGAAATGTCACCAGGGCTATGGAAAGAAACACAGATGTGTTTTTTCCATGCTGTCAGCATATATGTATGCATGACAGAAGTATATGGTTCACCTTTACAGACAGGCAGACTACAAGAGAATACCACTTTGAATACCTAAATGTTGTTTCAGCTTAGTACATAGTATACATTTTCATACACATAGTATTCATTTTTCATACACTATTACTTAAAAATAAACGGATTTATCTAGTATTAAATTAGAATAAACTAAAAATAGGAAAAATATTTTCAAGGTTACAGTGTGAATTAAAAGCCAGGTGGTGCAAAAAGTGTCATAATTACGTAGTCTGTTTTACTGCATTTTCAGTAGACCCGGTTAGACTGCCATAGTATTTTTGTGTCAGATGCTGACCCCTTTACCCTTTTGCTGAAGTTGCTTAAAAAGTTACTGCTGAATGATTTTTTCAAATCCTGTAGCTGGATTCTAATCCCAGTGTGAGTCATTCCCCATCTGTGGGATGCTCTCTGCCTTCAATTGCAATGGTTTGCAACTGGAGAGCCGACAGTATGCTTCATTGAAACCCAAAGCCAGGGTGACCCCCAGGAAGATCAAGAGGGAGATAGGAGGGGAAGAGGGGATAAAAAGCTCAGTTTGCTTGACTTTATTGTTATGTTTTTAATAAAATCTTGCGTTTGAAATCACGTTGATTGACCATTTTAGTATTGCATTGAAAAAAATCTGATTTTGAGGCCTCTCATCTCGGTTTCATATATACAAAAATAAATGAAAATTTAAAAATAAAATAGGGAAAAGTAAGGTTCACTAGTGGGCATATCTGAGCTCATGTAAGCTCACATTCAAGTTTGAATGTGAATTCAATGATCAGGATTACCCAGTATTTTTAGACATAGACTCAAGCTTTAACTTAAATGTGGACCGGTCTAATTTAACTAAGTAGGCAGCAAAATGTGGCAGTGAAAAAAAAAGGTGAAATTTTGACTCTATCACACAAAACACAGGCAACAGCCAGTGACCCAAGGATCTCATCCTTGAATGGCTAACAGCCATTTTCCTTTACAGAAAGCAAAGTTACAGGTCTAGCTTTACCCTGCGTCCCAAAATACCCTCTTTTCCAATAGATTATCTCACCAATAATGATTCTCATCCATATTCTGTTGCTTCAATCCCCACGCTTGTTTCAGTTTATTTCCTAAGCCCTCAGCAGAAATATCATGGAATCTACCAGACCCTGACCCACAGCTGTCCTGTCCAATATTAAGCCTTAATAACTGCTATCTCACACTAATGTATCTCTTCTTCTTCCCCTATTATCTTATGGATGTTAAATCTCCGGGTACACAATTTCTAAATCCCTCTCCTTACATACAGTCTGAATTACATTGCTTAACTGTCCACCCAAAAGTTGGTAACTTGACTGTTTCATTATCATTTGGTTTACCTCTGTTCCATGAAGGCCTTCTGGTCCTGGTTCTCCTTTATCTCCTTTCTCACCCTAAAAGAATGAATAGTTACTTTATTATATATACACAAGACAAGTGCTAATTTATGATGCTTTTTAACAGGAGAAATATTTTACCATTTTGTTCTGTTCTACAAGAAGTGCTACATATATATTGCTGGCTGCACAGGCAAAATTATTTCTTACATTCCAACAGAAATTCTTTTTAAATAAATGCCTGTGAAAAATGTCAGACACTCTGATAGCTGTAGTTTTCTCTACTTCATCGTACTATTGAACATCCATAAAGACTCATGACAGAAAAACATTCTTAATTCTCGCTGTGTTTCAAGAACATGGTGATGAAACAGAAACTTACACCAGGGAACAGTTTTATTTTTAAAAATCTTAATATTACATTATTTTTTTCACTCTGAGACTATTTTATTAATAAAAAATTCTTGTTTTAAATATCTGATAAAAAACCTGTCCTTAATATTATCATTTGTCTTTGACTTTGAAAAATGGAAACAACTTTTGCTCTGAAAATTTTCTCAAGAATGAAAATTACCAACATTATTAATCAAAATTAAAAAAAAGGTGGGAAGGATCCTCCACAATCGACTATAGTTGGTTATGTATTTGCTCATGAAATATTGACTACAAAAGACAGTATTCTTTGTATGATACGTGACAGAATCCAGTTCTGTATTAATTCTAACTAATGTGCTATTCTAGTTAACACATATTTCATCACACTGAACAAAATACACTTGCTAAAGAAGTAAAACTTAAGAGAAAATGTCTTCAAGAACCAACAAGCCTAAACAATTCTATAATTGCATTTCCGTCACTCAACTGAACTTTGTCAAATAATAATAAGTAATCATAAAGTAACATGATTTTATAATTCTGATAAAAGTGCAAGGACCGACTTCATTAGAGTCCAAGCTCTTAATGTAAACTAAAGGAAACAAACAGCCCTGTACTGAATTTTGATTATCTCCAGGGGACTACATTTGTCTGAGCAGAATCTATTCATTATATCAGCATCATCTTCATAATTCTGTTAGGTAAATGGCACTGAACTGAGGTCATTCCGCTAACTCCATTTGTGACACAGTCCTGACTCAGAGCAATTCCTCCAGTGGCAATGACAGAGGGCATTTCATCTAATAATTGGTTTTGCAAAATGAGTTTGTATGAGCTTTGTCAAACAACTGAAGACTACTAACGAATTAGCAGCAACAAGCTGCAAATTTAATAATCCCACTCAAAAGATGGCTTTGCTGGTTCAGTGTTTCCATTTTAATACATCTTGTTGATACACTTAATGTTACACATTAGCCTGAATTATACTGTTAAGGTTTTTCCTCAAGTATTCCCTTTCTTGTTTGTCAAAACTCCCCCAGAAGAAACCACCAGACAGATGTGTGCATTTATTGCAGAAGTTTAAATGACACCAAACAGTTATAGGAATTTAACACTTACTATTTTACTATGTTTAAACTAAAAAGTCTTCTTTGTTCTATGGATTAAGGCACTAGTTGAGATAGTAATTTTCTTTCACTGTCAGTTTAAAAAAAAAACCAGTTGAAGTCCCAAGGGTACAATTCTTTTTTAGATAGCTTACTTAAACTTTTAAAACAAACTGCAGAAGTGACATTTTACTTTTCATCACTGTGACATACTGAACACTTAATACTGCTTTCAGGATATTTCCACTAGTATCAGTTACACTGCTACAATCTTGCAACAGCTATAAAGATACGTTCATATATTTGACACAGTATCTTATGAGAATATATTTCTAGAAGATTTAAAAAATCATTACTATTTATGGAGCTGTTTTTTCCTCTATGGCTTATGTATCTGCTTTCACACTTTAAGAGAAAATTATATAAATATGTACAGATTTGCTTCAGAAGTGGTAGCATCCTGTAAATTCCCTGATGAATAGTTGGAAACCTAAGGTAAAAGTATCATGTCATATTTTGTTATGCAACATCTACATTTACATAAAACGCTCAACAGAGAGCCTAAGCCAAAAGAAAACCATCCCCTCACTCTCATTTATAATTTGCCTCGATGTTAGAGGAGCACTATGGGTCGGAGAATGTGCCTTTGTCTTCTACAGCAGGCAGATGGTTACTTCAAAATGCCATCAGGTAGTTCTAGACACATACAAGTGTGGCTGGTGAACGTAGGGAAGGAAAAAAACCCTTCCTCATGATTTACAAGATATTTGGCTTTAAGATGTTTATCAGTTTCTTTGACAAAATGATAAAAAGCACCCACTATTTATGAGCCTTGGACCTCTGCAGAGTCCCTGGCTTTCTGCCAGGTATGTAATTTTACTATGAACATATTCTGATTTTTTAATGGAGTACATGATTTGTCCTTGCCAAGCCTGTTGTATGGAATGTCCATGTTCTCTGCGAAGACAGAATTCAAACCAAAGAGAGGTCCAATTTTTACAATTTATTCTCAGGAGAACTGAGCCAAGTCATGCTCATTTCTGTCTTTATGGAGCACACTATACTGAATAATTAACAGCTTCAAATCTAGCCAATTTGCAGAGTTGCTGAAGCCACTCTGCAGTGTAGATGAGGCTGTTAATAATCAACATTGTGGCTTACCTCATAGATTAACAAAAGAGAGAGAAAAATGCCTTCATGCCATTTTATATCTAATGTTCCTGCCTGCTTATACTTTATTCAGATGAGACAATTAAAGAGTATTTATTGCATAAACAGGGTGACAAAACTCTGAAAGTGTCAAGTCTTGTTTATTAGTTAACCAAAACTAACCCGATGTAACACAGAATTATTTGTATTTCTTTGGGTGAATTCTGCATTCCATTACCCTGATGGAACAAGCTGATGGGGTTGCTCCAGAATAATTGCTGAGAGGGATTCAGTCTGCTGTGTGTAATAGAAGATACACTGAATTCAGTGGCAGCATTCTTTAATTAGAGCCAGGGGTTCCTGCATGGCCTCTGCAAGATGGCAGTACCATCCTCTAACCCACTCATCCACTTTAAGGTTGCCTCATTTTCCTTGCACACTATTTCCCCCTTATTATAAAGGCAAAGTAATGTATTTGGAAATAAAATAAATTCATACCTAAAAATTGACCTAAAAAGGTAAAGCTTTTTCTGCAACACTGCCCTGTTAATGATACAAATCAGGAATTACTGTTATAATTTGTTTGAAGAGTTGGAGTGTCACTGTTAACACTAGCTGAATTACTCTCCAAAGTATGCAGGCTATGCAGTATCACTAACTCAGTGTGGATAACTTGTAATTTTTAACCTCTGAAACTCCGAGATTTTACCTACATATCTTTAAGACTAGTATGGTTTATTTTTTTTTAATAGTTTTCTGTGTTATGCTACATCTCTGTCTCAGCGGAATTAGCAGGCTCAATGTAAATTTTATTTTCTTGTGACCATTTCTCCATGACTTCTTTTAAACTGATCTCAGCTTTTAATAGTGCTCATTGATTTTTCTTGAGTAAGATAGGAATTTAAAAAAATCCCCAACAAACCCTACATTTCTTTCTGATTTTGCTGATAGTCTGGAGAGCTGGTATTATGGAGAGTTCCACCTCAATTATATTCTTATTGCCTGACCTTTAAACCTTCTGCAGAATGTGGGATAGTACTCTAGGAAAGTGTCTAGCACCTCAGGACTGCTAGACACTGTACATTTAAAAGGAGTGGAAAGCAAGGAAGACTAATGACTTTATTTTAGTTCAGACTGGGAGGAACAATGCAAGGAAATGTAAAAGGGATGCAAGAGGGACGCAAGAAGCTCATTTTCAAATAGGCTGTAACATAAAAGAGTATTTCTTAAGCAGGGTCAGAAAGACACAGCATAACACATTGCAAAAATACACTTCTATTTCCAGTAAACTAAAATCAACAGTGATGATTTGGAAGGATGTCACCATGAAGCCTGTGTCTTCCCAAACCCACTGATTTAGGATACTCAGACACAAAAGGAAATCAGGTGATCACAAAGCTTCATAGGGATCAGGAATTCAGAGGGCTCAGTAGATACGCTTACCAAGAAACAGTGACCAAAAACCTGCTAATTCCAAACTGAGCTGTTACCGTCTTGTGAAAGAGGCGTAAACAAACATTATGCCTGAACATAGTGGATAACGTGTCTTTCCTTCCTGCTTTGCTTACACAGGCTGAGCAATACTGAAGATGTTCATGATAGCTAATTACTGCTTAGTCACGTTTCTAAGCAAGCTCTAAGCATTTCTAACCAGAGAGGTGATATAAAGGCAAACTACCACCTCAGCTGAGGCCAAAACCTCAGGCACAAAACAATCTGAAGCTTTAGGCCAGCCCAAAGCTCCAAAGCTGCTCTGATGAACTGCCTCCTGTCAGCAGGAATAAGGCATCCATCCATTTTCATTCTTTGTGGAAAAACCTTAAAATATAAAATTATTTTGATCAATAAAAACAACAATAAAAAAAAAACTCAAAAAAAAAAAAAAACCCACAAAAAAAACAAAACCAAAAAACAACCCAAAAGAACAAACCCAAATCAAACGAAAAACCAAGTCCAATAAAAGTTTCGGTGTAGTGCTCTCCAAATGGAGAAATCCAATGCACTAACAACGAGAATAATCCCTGCAGCACTGTTGCAGAAAACTGTCTGGGGATTATCATAGATCATATAGTGCATAGGAATCTGCAACCCAAAGCTATTTTTAAAAGGTTAAACTCCATTCTCCATTTGCCAAATGCAAGCTGAAAAAACCCCAGTTATTCTGGATTACTTGCCACTGATGAGAACAGTGAGAAACATCTAGTTCAGGGTATTATCTTTTTCTTTGTCAGCTTTAAGTATCCATCTTCTCCAAATCAGAATGATAGAAAGTTTACAAAAAAGTTAGGAGGAAAGAATGAACGTAGGACATGCTGATGGATCTCAAATATGGAAAAGAAGACTATACATAAGTTGTATACATCAAGGTTTCCACAGTGATACTAAAAATCTATAGACTGAAGGACTGTACCACATTCGTTCAAGTAG